CTTTGTTTTCTTAAATTTTAAAAAAACTCTTATTTTTTTAGTTTCTGGTGGGGTCAAACTTTCGTTTGAAACACTGTATATCGTTTTTAAGAGAGAGTTTGCTTTGTACATAATAACAAAATGCACTTAAGATTGGAAAAACCCGGTTAATAAGTATTAAAAAAATAATTTTAAGATTTTTAATGGGCATCCCTAAAAATGATATCTCAACTGGTGATAAAACTCTTAAAATCTTTTATTCACTTTATTCTGTCTGCGGTCTTTACCTAGAGTGCTTTTATGATTGTTGATATAATTTTTTAATTGTTTGTATCTAGAAATTTTTATTTAACGGGTTTTTGGGTCTATTTTTATTCAATTTATATTTTGATTAAGTTTTTTTTTAATTTAGTTTTAAACGTTTTATATTTACACAATAAAATTTCAATTAATTGTATTTTTTGTAACAATTCATTACAAAAATACATTATTTCATTGTTCTACAATTAATATTTCACGATATAGTTTGGGACCCATGGAAACAAGTCTGAACTTGTATCATATGTGCCAAAAAAAATAAGAATGTACTACTACTTTAATCACTACACAGCGATGGTTTCATTGGTGAAAACACCAAAGAGCATACCATGAAGTCAGAGATTATTACTGATTACGAACCCACAAAAGGCGGAGTGAATAGCACTAGGCCGTAAGTTTAATGTAAAACCCAAAGTAGGATATGATATTTTTATCAGCAGTTTTAAATACCACCATGTAAATATAAATATTGCTCTAAAAAACTATGTCAATGTCAAAAAGCTGAGATTTCCTATATATATCTCGACGCAGATGAATGTAAAAAAAAAATGTTTGTAGAAACAAAATGAATAAACATAAATAATTTTCTTTTAAGTTTAATTTTTTAAATCTTAGTTTTCCGTGTATTTGTCTCATTAAGTATAAAAAATTAAAGTAGAAAGTAAATAGAACGAAAAGGATAGATCTACTTTATGATGATTTAATTAAGATAATTATACCAGAAAATTGAAAATAATGTACACGTTGTAATATATGTCAGCACAATGTATGCTTTTATTATTTTTTTCCAACCATAGTGACTAACTTTGTTTTTCTTTTTCAGGTAAGTCAATCTGCTAAACATTTTTATCAAATTGTAAGTAAATGTTTTTATAAGTACTTTATTTATTTATTTATTTTTTTTATTTACATTAATGTGTCTTGACTGCAATTACTATTGACAAAAACAATATTGTGTATAATAATTATAATAAGCACATGATACTAATTGCTATAGTTTATCTATAAGCTTAGAACCTATGACTAAATAATACAACTAATAATACAGTTTTATCTCATAAGTTATAAGTTAAAGGTAAAGTACATGGAAAACAAGGGGTCATATTCTGTTGAACAACTGAATGTCTTTTAAGAAACCAATTAGTTATATACATATCGGGTGAGTTTAAAACGTCTTTGATATTTGACTTAAGTTTATGTTGCACTCTGTGTTTTGCGTACCGGGGACACTCGATCAGGATTTGTTTCACAGTTAATACACTTGAGCAGATTTGGCAATTGGCTTTGGCTCGGACTTCATTAGGTATCTTCTTCTTCTTAAGGTATCCTCTCCATTACTAAAGGTTGGCTACAAGCAAATTGCTCTCTATCTTGAGCTGTTCTTAGTATCGAATGTTTGTCTATATCTGTCCAGTCTCTAACATTCTTCAACCAGGAACATTTTCTTCTTCCTGGACCCCTTCTTCCTTCCACTTTCCCTTCCATTATAAGTCGTAAATCGTGTAAATCAGGTATGTCCTATTCTTAATTTTTGGATGACAGCTTTTTCTTTTCTAGAGATTGTTGGAAGTTCAAAATTTTCAACAGTCTTCAGAATCTCATGTAATGCACTCTTAGTTGTATTTCAGTGAATTTGCCAGGTATGGTACTGTTGTTGATCGAAAATTTGCTTTAGGTCATTTCGGATTTGAATATGTTGGGCTTTTGAGGATTGATTATTTACACAAGAAGCTTACTTGACTGCTTGGTCTGCTTTTTCATTACCAGGGATGCCGATATGGGATGGTAGTCAGATGATTGTGACATTAACACCTTGAAAAGCGAGTGCACTGTAAGTCCTATGGATTTCTTGAAATAAGGATTGCTGAGAGTATAGAATTTTTATCGGGTATAGTGACGACAGGGAGTCTGTGCATATTGCTTGGCTTTTATCATCTGTTTTAATTTTTTTAAAAGCTTATGGTATCGCAAGTTCTCCAGTTTATACGCTGCATAAATTCGATAAAAAGATTTTTTAAAATCATATGTGGTAATGGCACATCCAACGCCTGCTTCGCTTTTTGAAGGCATCTGTACACAGAATTTTTTGGAATTGTTTCTGGCATGTGATTTCTTTGAAGTGTTTGCCTTATGAGAAGGTTTGAGATTTCATGTTTATTGTATTCTAATAGAAAAGTAATTTAATGTGGGATTGGTCTCTTCCAAGGCCGAGTATCCGGGATTGGGAAGGAATGTGTTTTAATAAGGTCAATGTTTTTTTAGAGTTAATTTCTGGATGTCTATTATATATTGGATCATTTGCGGGGTCTTCGGAGGCGATGTTGAAGTAATTAAATTGTAGACTGGATTGGATGGGTTTGCAGATATGGAAGCAAAGTAAGATTAAAGAAGATACTCTCGTCAAATCGAAAGATGTGATCCATTAGCCTCGCAGTAAACACTGTCTATGGGACTAGATTTGAAAAGCGCCTAAGCAAAGACGAATTAAAGTGTTATAGATAGAGTTCAGTAGCTTTAAGTCAGATTTTGATGCAGATATGTATATGAAGCTGCTGTTGTCCAGTTTTAAGCGGATTAAAGCTCTATATATATTAGGTAAGATGATTTCGTCCACAGTCCATGTGTACTTTGATAGTGCCTTGATGATATTGACTCTCTTCATTGCATTTTCCTTTAATACACTAATATGCTGTTTTGAAGTAAGCCTTACTGTCAAACGTTAAACCAAGTATTTTGTGAGGAGTAACTAGTTGCAATGGAGTTCCATTAAGGGTGATAATTGGACTTGGCTGCAGGGTCTTTTGATAAACCATATCAGTTTCGATTTAGTGGTTGAGAGAGACAATCCGTTCTTTTTAGGACCATTCGCTATGTTGATTTACAGCGGTCTGAAGCACGTTGCATGTGTCAATTAAACTTGTTCCCTAACAATATAAAATAAGGTCATCTGCGTATATTAAGTGCTTTACTGGTGGACCAATAATGGTACAAATATCATTTATTGCAAGAGATGAACAGTGTTGTACTGAATACTGAACCTTACGGGACTCCATTATTTTGCCCGAATGTCGCCGAAATTTCCCCATTTGTTTTCACTTTGAAAGTTATTTGTTGTAAAAAGTTACTCATGAAGGAGTAAATAAAAACTGTTGTCTTGTATTGACAAACTTTTTCCGAATGGCTTGGCGCCAGATAATATCGAAAGCTCCTTCCATATCAAAGACAATAGCGATTAGATCTTGTTTATTTGAAATAGTGGACACTATTTGTGTTTGTAATAGCACTAAATTGTATAAAGGTTGAACGGTATTTATTAAATACTTTATTTTATTTATATAGTAAACAATAATAAACCGACAAATCAAAATAAAAAAACATGAATTTACTTTTCCGTATAAAAATAGAAAAAATATTACGTACCTAGATAAAAATAGATCTCCATCTATAATTTTTTGATATTTTTTAAAAAAGATCGGGTCACAATCAGTTGTAAAGGGTGTTTCTTTAGAGATATAGAAATGTAAGTAGTCAACACTTTTTTAATTGTCGGCCGGTTTGACCGCTGTCGAGTGATTTACATTTTGTTTGGTTTGGCATTTTAGCATAAATAGACTGACCCTAAACAACGCTTTCAAATGGTGCAAATTTATTTTGATAATCATGGTTGTGTTTTGCGCCCTACATAGATGTTATGGTCAACATGATCGTCTATCAGAGCAATTAATTCGATTAATCATAGAACGTTTTTAAACCACTTTTACTTTAAATGATAATACGCATCCACAAAGATGTTGTACAATGCGTACAGAAGAAGTTATTGCTAATATAGATCGCAGCATAGAGGAAGACCTGAATCAGTCTATCAGACATTGTGTACAGTAGTTGGATATGTGTCCATCCACTTTATGAAAGATTTTGTAAAAAAATCTTGGTCTGAGTGCTAAAACAATTCATTTCGTGTAAGAATTAAAGCTACACTACCATCCAGTATAGCTTAGATTTTGCAATTGGGTCCAAAACGAGATTGCCGTTGATCCTGATTTTTCATAGGAAAATTGTTTAGAGATGAAGCTCATTTTTGGTTAAATGGCTATGTCAACCTATAAAACTGCCATATTTGGCGTAAATAAAATCCTTAAGTGTATATTGGGATACCATGACATCCAGAAAAATTGACTATTTGGTGTAATTTGAAGGTTAGTAGAACTATTATTTCATATTTTCTTCACAAACCTGTTAGCAGAACATTAAAGTAAATGGTAACCGCTATAGAGCCATAATTACAGACTTTTTTATCTCTCAATTCAACAGCTATGATGTGCAGAATACCTATAAATAAAATTGCTTAATTTTCTTGACTTTTCTCAGGTAAACACCAAACATTTCGTAAATAATATCTTCATCATCATCTATGGTGCTACAGCCCTATGAAAGAGCTTCGACCTTCGCAAGTCTATTACGCCAGGCAGTCCTATCCATTGCCAACCGTTGCCAGTTTGCTGCGCCTATCTTTCTACCATCCTCATCTACACCATCCTTCCATCTGAGTTTTGGCCTACCCCTTTTTCTACTTCCCACGGGTTATGGCATAAGGATTCTTCTAGGTGGGTTGTTCTGCTGTGATCTTGCTAGATGTCCTGCTCATCTTAGTCTTCCTATTCTTATAAGAGATACAAATAATATCTTAGTGAAATGATAACTAAGTTGTTTAATTGATTTATTTAATAAAAAATATCTTAAAATTAAGCAGTGGCACAAATAACCACTTTAGTTAAAACTTTTCCAGCGCTAATATAAAAGGGGTCGACTTGATTGGCAACGCATTGCTTTCCAGATATACTAAAAGCTTTAAAGGCATCAATGACGGGTTGAAAATCGTTTTTTACAGCATCGGGAATCTCAGCTGCAACCTTAAGTACATCTGAGATGACCTGCAAAAATTATTTGTGTTTACTATAGTAAGTGACAAAGAACTTCGAACATTCATTATATTTATTCTATTTTAACCTATAAAAGTAACCACTAAAAATGTACACTTTTAAGTTTAATACTGATCAAGATTTAGCGGTATGCGGTTCTTGTCTTTTTAAAATCGTTACAATGCCTAGAGGCACAAATTAGACTGCCATAAACTGAGCGACCATCAAACTGAATTTATTAGGGGCCGATAGTTGGTCTAAGAAAACCCGTACTTTATTTTCAGGGCATTGTAAATAGGATAAATAATCATTTAGATACTGTGTTAAGATGTTATTATACATGGCGTCAAAAAAGGGCGGCGCTGAAGAACAATAGAGCATGAAGATTATTCCCTAAGTTTGATTGTTGTAAGAGATTGCTTCTCCCCTACCAGATCTATTGAAAATTAATAATTTGCAGAATATGGAAAAGCAATTGATCTACAAATATTGAACTGTTTATTTCGACCACACTGGGTGCTAATTCTTGCCCCTCAACATCAACGTAATTATCTTGAAGAGTACAAAGTACGACTAGCTTGATCTAAGGATACAATGAGGTTGTCTTTGGTGATAATTCTTGATTTTTTTAAGGGACGGCCAAGCCAGAGTAAGTAAACGACGTGGTTAGGTACTGTTGGAGTTATGTTATTGTGTGCTATTGCTTATACTTTAAGGTTATCATTAACTTTCGTCCAGAACGTCATCGTACCCAATTGAACACGTTTGGCACATAATGAATCAAATACTTCTTAATTTAGAGTATCCTCCTTAAAGTTTGCGAACATTTTGGGCAAAAATAATTAGGGCATAAAACCCAGGAAGATATTTACCAATCAGAAGCAAGTCGAGGCTCGAAATTTTGATCGTTTGTTTAATTTGTTACCTCTGTATGATATTTATACAAAATATTTTCATTTATAATGTGTGTTCCTATTTCTAGATCACTTAGTATATGTACATGAGTAGATTTAGTTTAGTTTGACTTATGTTAAGATGAAATGATGAAAATATGTTAAAATATGACGACGACTAATATGAAGATATTAATTATTTATAGGTTTTATGTCTCTTCTTTGTGGTCTGGAAGCTTGGACACTAAAACAAGTTCATCTGAATAAGTTGGCCGCCTTTGAATTTTGGTGTTACAGAAGAATCCTACGAATATCATGGATTCAAAGAATGTCAAACATGGAAGTAACTAGAAGGATAGGAAATGAGGCGGAAATAATATTAACTATTAAAAGACGAAAACTTGAGTACTTTGGACATATGATGAGAGGGCGAAAATACGCATTATTACAACTTATTATGCAGGGCAAAATCCGAGGAAAGCGAAATGTGGGAAGACGAAGAATATCCTGGCTTAAGAACTTAAGGGAATGGTTTTGAATGCAGTAGTGCAGAACTTTTTAGAGCGGCAGTCAACAGAGTCCGCATAGCCATGATGATTTCCAACCTTCGATAGAAGATGGAACTTAAAGAAGAAGAAGAAGGTTTTATATTCTGATGTTATATTTGCCACAAAGTAAATAAAAATTTACGCACCTGAGCAACGCAGAGAAGAGTTTGTTGATCACCTCTTTGGCATTGATCAATTCCGTTAGCCGCTTTTTTGAACTCGTCATGGATACCAGACAGATCTTTAAGTAAAGGTGCAACAGTCCTTACCAAAGCGACGAGGTCGTCCTTCATACATCTGCCGGCCCCTGATACGAAATTGACGCGAAGCGCCATGATACCATTTTTTTGTTGTTCAATACAAGAAATCAATTTCTTTCCCGCATCAGTGCTTTCTAAAAAAATACCATAATGTACATATAATAATAATTCAGTTTTTGAGTTTTGTTCTTATGTATTTTTTAACTGTATTTCATCTGTTTTGCTTTGAAAATTTTAGAAGGCAAAAATTCAGGCAAAAGTCAAAAGGCAATTTTATCAAAGTTTATTTATTCGAGCATTCAACCTTATATCAATTAAAAAGTTTAAATTTTGGTTTTCAAAACTAAAAAGTATTCGGATTTTAACCTTTTTTTCGAAGAAATTTTTGTATTGCTTCTCTTGGCGAAAAATACTTGATTTTACGTTTATTGCTCCGACATAGTCGAAAAAAAGAGACCTGAAACATCGAATATCACTTGATTTAATAGTTTAGTATCACAAAATTATTTGATTTAATTTATTTTGGTATTGTCCACTTTTTTCTTCAAAGGCAACTGCTTAAATAATACTTTGAAGATATTTATTATAATAAACGATAAAAGGAGACCATTTTTTTTGAAAATATATATATATATATATATATATATATATGCATATATCATCAGACTTCTCTAAACCAGTTTTGTGTGCCTTTGGATCTATATTACCCAAATTTTTCATCAACATATTGAATATACATATACTTACGTGCAGCGATTCCATCTAAAATAGGTTCAAGTGCTTCCAAAGCTCTAGTAATAGCAGTTCTTGTATAATTTAACAGTTTAGTCAGGTACCAGTGATACTGGTCAGCGAATGTGTCGATAAAATTTGGACCTGTAGCGAAAAGCTCATCCATGAGGTCTTCAATCTTGTGGACGATCTTTTTGACGATGTCGATTATATTGCTGTCATCTGCTTTGTTTGGTAAAGCAACAACCTACAAGAAAACAAAAATATATACAGGGTTTTCCAATAGGCACGTCCTGTTTTAAAATATCATATTGGCCATTTTGAAAATAATAGAACTGTCACTTGTTGACGTTTGTATTTAACATACTCTAACAAATTACCATGACAAGATATACGCTTGAACCTATGGACCAAATCATCGTCCTGATGTGCGTGTAATTCGTCGAATCGTGCAAAAGTTTCAACGTGAATTTACTCTGGACGATACGAAACGATCAACTAGACGCCGAAATCCAAGAACTCAGGACAACATTGCTGCTGTAAGAGCCAGTGTAGCGAAGAATGCAAATATGACTGTAAATCGTTGTTCTCAAGAATTTGGACTGACCAGAATGACAAATTGACGAATTCTTACAAAAGATTTAGACCTACACACTTACAAGATTGTTTTAACTCAAGAACTGAAGCCACTTGACCATCATAAGCGTTGTTTGTTCCCTGATTGGGCTCTAGACAAACTCGAAAATTTAAAAAAATAATATTTTCCGATGAAACTTATTTTTGGGAAAACATTCGTATGGAGTGGGTAATTTCTTAATTTTTTCTGGAAACTGCTTTTGGCCTCGAAATACCACCTCATTTAGATAAAGTTGAAGGTGTTTACTTTCCCAACAATAGATTTAAATTCACTAGAATCATTTTTTGTGGCCACTACATCACCTGTTACACCACGAACTGCTACTACCAGACTACTATCTTCTTCCGTTAGTTCTGGCATTTCAGTACGTTTCTGTCACCGAAAAGGTTATGAGCCTCCCTTCACTGGAATTTCTTCAGATGCATTTGGTGCTTGCGACACCTCTGATACCCTTAGTTGATTTGTATTGGATTGCTTTTGAATTATCTGGTCAATCTGTCAATCAATTATCTGTTGAAGCTGTACTATCTGATTCCATTTCATCAGCGATTAAATCAGCAGCATCCTCAGCAACAGAATCAGCAAAACTATCGTTGCCATCAAAATCGTAGTCACTCTCAATATCTGTTGCTTTACGACAGCAGCAGGTATTTAATCCAACATCTCTCAGATTTCTACATCAGTCATTTAAGACAGTCTAAAACACCGTTGTGCCATATCTGAAAAGAAAAATGTACTGTACTACATCTCTCAACGCTTTAGTAATAAGCCATCTAATAAATTTTTACTACGCCATAGTGCACAAGTTCGCCTACAGATAAGGTATGGAAAATGAGGCATAACAAAAACCACTCACCTATAATTTATTCTGCTTCACTAAGCGTTCCACAAACAAGTAGTTATTTGACTAAAAATGTGTATTGGCGCCAACAATTTTTTCACCCAATACTACTAATTGTTCCCATATAATTAACCGCCTCCGCTGCTCTGTGACAGATATGAAACTACAAATATCGCTATTACATAAAACAAGCCATCCACAAAACAGTTTTAAGGAGGTATGCAACCAGAACTTCTCCTGTTCATATTAATAGGACTTTAATCAAAGTTCGCTCAAGGCGGTTGTATGCATTCATTAGAGGGTTAATAAATAACCACTTTCTGCCAAAATAAAACTGTTCTGCAACTGAATTATAAAATAAAATATTCTTAATGAGAAAATACATCAAATGTTGCTAAAAATATATTATTACATGGATTTAATATTATCATCCAAACTAATATAGTAATTGTCCACTATTTTAAACATTCCATAGTTTTCCGACAAGAATTCAAACATTGCAAGTTCATATTTATTTCAATAACTTTACACTTTTAGTAATTTAATATTTAATAGGTATTTAAAAGGTTTAGGCTAGATTGAGTTACAAGTACAAAAAGATAACTTACTTGATTACAAAAGAGAAACCGCGTCAGTGAGTACATATGTACATAAAAAAGTACTTACAGAAGCCAAGATAATGGCGCAGAAAAAGAGAGTGATTTTTTCCATTTTGTTAAGATGTAAGTCGATACTATAATAACATACAGACGTATATTTATACTATTTGTTACAAAAATTATCAGTCCTGATAAAGTTAAATTTTGATTACAATAATCTTAAAGTTGATTTATTGAATTAATGTTTTAACTTAATATTGGTCGCAAAACTATAATTTTAAAACTATAACATGCAGCATAGTCACACAACTACATTTATTTACAATTTGGTATGCTACATATAAATGCTTTAATATAGACACGACCCCATTATCGTACTTTGTTCATTCGTAAAGCCTTTTTAATTCTGCACGGATATACCACCTTAATTGCTTATACATCTTATATATACTCATGCTTTTTACAGCATTAAATAGATAGATTAGATAAATTCAATGAGTTGGCTTTTGGATGATTTCACTGCGATATTTTCAGATCCATTCTGATTCTCTAGCACCAAATTACATCTAGCATGGCCCTTTATATGGTCGAATAGCTTCAAGATTCTTCGCCTAATGTAAAGAACCTCACATTTGTCAGACTTTCGCACCCACACAAAAAGTGCTCTGTTGTTTTTTCATCTAGATGACAAAAGCTACATAGATCATCATCTGCCCATCATATTAGCTTTAACTATCTATTTAGCTTACTGAGCCCTGTTAGGGTGCTTTATATAGTACTGATTTTCTGCCTTTGCTTATTCATCTACTTTAAATTTTGGTGAATTCACCTGTCTTATCATGATGAATTCCTACACTATTCTAGAGATTTATGTGCTAGCCACATTATTTTCACAGCATTACGTTCATGTTCAGTATCATGGTTGACCAAAATATTTACAGCAGTAGTGCTTTGATTAGTGATCAGTGTAGTAATGTCTGGGGGCTCGAGAGACTGACAAATCGGAAGATCTGAAAAAAAAAATCAAAGAGAATGTCGTTAGCTCGGTGCAATAATAATTGACCGGGAAGCTGGTTGAGTTTAGTATTTATTACACCTACTTCATTAATTTAATAGAAAACACTTTTTTATTTAAGTTTAAAAGTAAAAAATAACAATGGTGGCATTCATACTTACAAACATATTGTAGTTCAAAACAAACAAATTTACTGGAACCAAATAATTAAAATAAAGCACTACTGTTTATTTATTTAATTGTCTGGTGATTTAGATTTAATAAACGACTTTATTTGGCTATATTGTTTAGGATTCTACATAGACAAAATGATAGTACGTTTGCACGTTTAAAAATTTTGTCTCTATTTTATTCCTATTTGTTTTAAAAAGGAATATGGAATATGATGTGTTAAGTATGAAGAGAGAATAATCAGTTCTTTTATTTAAGGCTGTTAAATGATCTGGTTTTCGGAAACAACTTTTTTGCAGCTCTGGTATTTTTAAGGCAGTTTGGCGTTAATACATAAAATAAAGAGCAATAGTCCTAGTTTGCGCCCCTGTGGACTCCTGAGGATGACATATATCGGTGAGAAAAGCAATTACCTATTTTTACTGTATTTTTTCCATCTGACAAATAAGATTTTATCAAATTAACAGCTTTTCTTGAGGAAACTTCAAATGCTTTTTCGCAATCAGTATACAGAACGTCCAACTGTTCCCCTGCCTCAATAACCTTAGCAAAATGTTCAAGAAGAACACAGAGATTATTTACTGTTGATTTGTCTCTTATAAAATCATTCTGGAATCTGCTACTTTTACTATTAACATGCTCATATATATCATCATAAAGAATACATTTAAAAATCTTAGCAATACTATTTAATAGGCTAATTGATAGGCCTGTAGTTTTGAATGTCATTTTTTTTATCTTTTTTATGTATTAGATAAATTGCTGCCACTTTTAAAATATCTGGAATATATTCCTGTTCAATCGACATATTAAACAAAAACGCCAGAAGTTTAGCTAAGGGTTTGGCCATTCCCTTATAGATAAGGGTAGTTTTTCATCAGGCCTATAGATTTTTTGATTTTATGTTTTTTAATAATATTTACTTCAAAGCAAAGCTTCAAAGCTTCAAAGCAAAATCTGAAAAGACAAATAACAAACGTAAATTCTGAAGTAATGCCCGAAATAAGCGAAGTAGAAATAGAAAATGCAATTAAAGAAATGAAAAGAAATAAAGCACCGGGTAGTGATGGAATTCTGGCAGAAATGTTGAAAGAAGGCGGAGAAGAAGTCATCAGGTACCTAAAAATACTTTTTAATAAATGCCTATTTGAGGGAAACATACCAAAGAAATGGAATACTGCTAACACAATATTAATACACAAAAAAGGGGACAATACAGATCTGAAAATTATCATCCAATATCACTACCATCACAACTTTATAAAACATTCACAAAAATAATTACAAATAGATTGACAACAAAGTTCTATGTATATCAACCAGTAGAGCAAGCCCGATTTAGAAAAGGGTTCAGTACATGTGACCATCTTCACACACTAAAGGTCCTAATACAAAAAGTTAACGAATACAATTTACCAATCTGTTTAGCATTTATAGACTACGAGAAAGCTTTTGACAGCATAGAATTATGGGCTATTGAGGAAGCACTGGTCAACAGCAGAATAGATTCTAGATATAGGATATTAATACATAATATATATCAACATGCTGAAATGGTAGTCACGATGGATAACGGAATGAAAACTAGGCCAATAAAATCAACCGAGGAGTAAGACAGGGAGACACCATATCTCCAAAACTATTTACTGCCGCACTTGAAGACATCTTTAAATCACTAAATTTGGAAACGAAGGGACTATCGATAAACGGAAAGTATTTAAACCATCTAAGATATGCAGATGACGTAGTACTAATAGTCGACAGCTGGAAAGAACTGAAGACGATGATCGATGAGCTTCATACGAAATCCATAAAAAAAGGACTGAAAATGAATCTGAGTAAAACTAAGCTAATGTCGAATAAAGATGATCAACCGACGATAACCATCCAAGGAACAAAAGTGGAACATGTAGAAGAATACATATATCTGGGTCAGAATATCAAGGTAAACAAAGAAACCTTCGAACCAAAGTGTTCAATTCTTGTATCCATCCCGTTCTCACTTACGGAGCTCAAACCTGGACATTAACAAAAAAGAACATGGACAAGATTCGAAAAACTCAGCGAGCCATGGAACGACAGATGCTTGGTATCTCACTAATAGATCGGCAAACGAACGAAGCAATCCGGAACAAAACAAAACTAAAGGACGCCGCGAAAAAAGCAGCTAAATTAAAATGGAAATGGGCTGGACACAACGAACGTCTCGAAGATGGTAGATGGAACAAAGAAGTCGGAAACTGGCGACCGTACGATGCAAAGAGACCAAGAGGAAGACCTCAAATGCGCTGAAGCGACGATATCAAAAGAGTCGCAGGACCAATGTGGAAACACCTAGCACACAACAGGGATAATTGGCGAGAAATGGGAGAGGCATTGATTCGAGAATTCGGATAGAAAAAGGGCTATAAACAAATACTATTTACAATACATAACTCTGTGATATATTTAAAGGTAAAACAACCCTACTCAGTACTTTAGGAATGACAATGTGTTCAGTCAGATGTATCATACACTGATGCAAAATATTTAGCAAAGGCACTCGCGATATTAAAAGGTATATTAAACTTGAAGTTGTTTATTGTCATTTCTATGAGAATTTCACTAATCTTATATTTTGTCTTAAAAATAGTCACGAATTTGTTTAGGTTAGCAAGTAGATAGTTTTCAGGTAAACCATTTCTGGTTTACGCTCTTTTGGTATCCCCTTGATAATCGACACTTGTAATAAACCTTGTAATAAATAATGATCTAAAGAGGGGTTTTAAAATTACTATAGACCACTTATGTTATTTTTTTTATTTATTACTAAAATATTTTAACATATTCTTATAATTTAGGCAGCAGCACAGCTAACAACTTCACCCAAAAGGTTTCCGGCGTTAACGTAGAAAGGTTGTATTTGATCGACGACGCACTGCTTACCTGATGAAGCAATGGCTTTAGCGGCATCAATGACGGGTTGGATATCGCCTTTCACAGCATCGGGAATCTCAGTTAAAACTTTGATTAAATCAGAGGCGACCTGAAAAAAGTATTTTTTAGTTCACGCTGATCTGTAATGAGGAAATAGGTGTGGATGAGTGTAATTTAGTTGGAGCAGGATAAAATGGAAGAGAAAGTATTAAAAAAATAAAATTATAGCATGGATAAGTGATGGAACAACGATGTGAATCATTTAAATAAATATATTAAAGGAAATCTTAGATTGAGATGGTTAGGACGTGATTGAAGTAATACTAACAATGCGTTAAGTTGTTGTGACATTGTTAAAGATCATGTGCTTGCAATAAGTAGACGACATAGATAAAAGTCTCATAGAAAGACGTGTTTAAAGAATATTAATAATGGTATAAAGTTGTAAAGAAGACTTTAATTACTATGATGACTTTAATGACTTAAATAACTAGGTAGAAACAATTTTATATTTATAATAAAAACTACATAAAAAGTGTACCCACCTGAACAACGCAGAGGAGAGTTTGTGCATCATTTCCTTGGCATTGGTCAATTTCGTTAGCGGCTTCTTTGGCCTGGTCGTGGACACCAGATAGATCTTTAAGCACAGGTGCGACAGTCTTAACCAAAGCGACGAGGCTGTCTTTTACACATTTGCCAGCGCCTTCTACGAAAGTGACACGGATGTCGACGATGTCAGATTCGTGTTGTTCGATACAAGAAACCAATTTTTTTCCAGCGTCAGTACTTTCTACAAAACAAATAGAATAAATATTAAACATGCTCGTTTAACCAAAACGCCTATAAATATGCAAATATACTGCAAAAGGGCCTATTATCTTTATATTTCTTAAGAAGAACCAGACTCTTATAATCATGGGAGATTTCAATGCAAAGGTTGGGCAAGGATGTGTTGAAGATGTCGTGGGTGACTTTCGTTTGGGAGATCAAAACGAGAGAAGAAATATGCTAATCCAGTTCTGTCAAGAAGAAAAATTAGTCATTGCGAAGACCTGGTATAAACAGCCACCTCGGAGACTCTGCACCTGGCAGTCTCCAAAACATACGCATGACAACATTGTAGGAAATCAAACTGATTTTTTATTGATTAATCAGAGATACAGAAATGGACTGCAAGGAGCAAAAAAGTACCCTGGAACAGATGGAAGGATGGAGGAAAATTGAAAATAAAGCTTAAGAAAATTAAGAGAAAATCCATAAAGGAAATTAATATAAATAGCTTAAAAACAACCTAACTTTAAATTAAGAGTCATAAAAAATTAAATAAGGCAATAGCGGATGTAACGGCAAGATTTAAACAATTGGCCAGTATAAAAGGCACATAGAATTTTATTAAAAAGCTATCGTAACCACCACCAAGTCTCTGATTGCTTCCCAAAAGTACAGAAAAAGAAAAATTGGATGACTGACGAAATAATATCAATGATGGACGACTGCATATCATTTAAAAACAAACACGGAACCAAAAATTAGCAGATTTGTCGACAAATATGAAAAGAATGTCGCAAAGCTAAAGAAAGTGGCTGCTAGACAGGTGTGCAGAAGTGGAGGAGTTGAAAGAAAAATATGATCACTTTAACAAACATAAACTCGTTAAAGAAGTGACAGGTCATACAAAATCTTGCAGTTTTAACAGAAAATGACAATGAATTAATTACTGATCCCAAGGATCAACTTCAACATATGAGACACTACACACAGAAACTATACTCAGACAACACTAGAAGAAACTCTGAAAGTGAATGTAAAAGTGACCCTCCTCCAAAATATTGAAGTCACAAGTTGTAAGGGCAAGCAAATAGAGCAAATGGATAAAACCACGAAACCTAGACGACGTATACATAGTGATTCTAACAATGTTGAGTGAAGATAATATAGACGCCTTGGTAGATTTTGTTAATGATATTTATGGGTCCGGTCAAATACAACAGAATTAGCTTCAATTAACCTTAATACCAATTCCAAAAGAGCCAAACGCTAACAGTTGCGACCAATTCCAAATGATCACCTTACTGAGCCAGGTCCTAAAACTCTTCTTAAAGATAATTTACACAAGAATATACAACAGATGTGAAAGAGACATTAGCCCCACACAGTTAGGTTTCAGACAAGGGTTTGACAAAAGAAAAGGAAAAGGCTGTTTATAGCTTAACTACTGTCCTACTTCAGAAATGCAAAGATCAACAAAAAGATGTCTTTCCATGCTTTATAGATTATCAGATTGTGTTAATCATTCAAAATTAGTAAGATTGCTCCAGGAACGTTCGATAGATGAGAATGAGCATAAAATCATAAAGAACGTTTATAGAAACAAATGTAACAAAACTCAAGATATATTCCTTGCTTTCCCTTACCAAGCTAAATAGATTATTTAAAAGCTATAAGTATTATTTAGAATCATTATTCAGTGTGAGTATTATTAAGAAAATTATTTTGGAATAAAGTGTATTGAAATTGTTTATTTATTAACATATTTTAGATAATCTAGGCAAATTATGGGACCAAAATTATTAGAGTTGCCCTAGAAAGTTCGGTTTTTTTTAATATAAAGCTCCTTAAAAAAATTTAATTATGGTACAGAGCTGCCTAACAATTAGTAAATAAGCGTGATACATAATTTAATTAAAAATAGTAAAACTTGTTGACTGAATGGCCAAAATTTGACAGATAACAATAGAAGGTGCGAAAAGTGTGCAATAACTTGACACTTTCCAAAACTTCGTTTTTATTTAAATTTGAGATTGATCTTAAACTTTTGTAAAATTTGAAGTAGGGAGTGCTGGTAATATGACACAGTATAGTAAGTTTGAAGTTAAGTAAATTTCTAATTATAAAACAAGATAAGTAATCTTCGATTAAATTTTTTTCAGATAAGTAAATGTAAAGATTTTTTGTTAAGCGTATACCATCTGTCATAGTCAAAAAGAAATGACAAGACAAAAAACTGTAGTGTATCTGAATCGTCAGTTTGAAGGTTCAATCAAAAAATTAAAAATAAACCTCCCGTGACTTCGGTTTAAAGTTATTAGCGTAATAGAAAGATTAGGTAATGGTTGCAAGGTCTTTATGTAAGATGGAGAAAAATATTAAAATACTTTGATAAAACAAATTTCGTTTATTGTCATAGCCCGGCAACCCACTAGACGTGAACCCTATTGAAAATGTCTAGAAATACTTACGTGCAGCAATATTATCTACAAGAGGTTTAAGTGCTTCAACCAGTTTAGTAAGAACGGTCCTTGTATAATCTAGCACTTTAGTAAGGTCCTCGTCATACTTGTCGGCGAAAGTGTCGATGAAATTGGGACCATCGGCAAAAACTTTGTCGAGAAGGTCTTCAATCTTGTGGACGACCTTTTTGACGATGTCGATCAAATTTTCGTCATCTGACTTGCTTGGTAAAGCAACAGCCTGAAAAAAAAAAACAAAATATATAAACTAGTATTATTTGCTGATGACTATTAGTAAATGCATTAGTCGCAAAATCTATTTTAATAATAAATAACAAAATACTGTGACTATTGATGTAGAATGCTTAGTCCCAAACAATTACTTTTTATGTGTTTTCTTTATCTGAAAGATCTCCTTTATCAAATCAATGTGTTTGTTTAGGTTAAATTCTTATTGATATGTACGTTCTGATCTATCTGATAAAAATTAATCTACTGTTTATTTTCCCTACCATTAGTATTTTTACTTATATCTATTGTTCAATCTAATGTCTCAACTAAGTCAAAACAAATGACACTAACAATGAAATTAAATAAAATAATAGTACTATCGTAAAAAATATGGCTCCAAAGAGTCAAAATACTACTAAATCAAACATTACTTAGTACTATCGATAGAGATTTTAAGTAAAACCTACATTACTACATTTTTCATATAAATTTATAAAAAATTAAATAAAAAAATCAACTAAAAAAATCAATTAAAAATTAAAAATTTACTTACTGATGCCAAAATGATAGCGCAGAAGAAGAGGACGATTTTTGCCATTTTGTTTCGATGTTGCTCGATACTGTACCAACCTACAGAATTTTTGTATATTTATACAACTTTTTGGAACAAATATCAGTCCTGATAAATTTGGTAATTTTAAATACACTCATCTTTAAGTGGATGTAATGACCTGTCTTAATTTAACCTTTGTCATACGGTATAATTTCAAAATACTAAGGCGGTAACACATTCTTAGATAAGAAATTATTGTATTCAAGAGTATTCAAGTATTGTATGCGAGATTTTTAAAAAATACTGAATTCAATAGTGATTTTTTCCTTACTTTTTACTTTTTGTATTTGCACCCTTACACCCTTTGTATTTGCTAGCCATAAATCATCAAGGGTGCACAGTGATGGGCAAAGTCTGCTTCCTCTCAGGTGCTCCACGTTCTGTGTTTCCCCATATTCACAAAGTGCGTCGCTATCTGTCTTGATGTGCTATATAATGAGGTTCTGTTTTACAGGGGCAACACCTGTGTATATGAGGTTGAGTGTCCGCCAGGTTCTCCACTCCAGGTGCATGCCATTAGGTCGTTCTGAATGTATGGGGAAGAGTTCGGGTGGTTCGACTTATAAACCTTTTCCTTGATTTAAGTCGGCTGATTCGTGGCGGTTCATTAAACCCGTATAATTGGTGTCTTTCATCGAAAGTTTGCCTGAACTTCTCCACATATTATGAGGCACATCTACAGTCGTCTGGTGATGCGAATCCAGCTACCCGGTACAGTAGGGGTAGAGGGGTAGGCTTCATGTAGCCGGTTATTATTTTACATGTTTCATTTAACGCCGTGGTGACTTGTTGGGCGTGTCCAGATCTACCCCAGACGGTACAAGCATATTCCTCTGTTAAGAAACATAAGGTCTCAGGTGTTCACTTGAAGATCTGGAGGTTTGCATCTCACTTACTTCCTACAAGTTTCCGGAGAAGGTTGTTTCTCATAGAAACCTTTTGTCTTGTGCTCCGACAGTGGAATTTTTACGTTAGTGATCGGTCTAGTATCACTACAAGATATGTGGGCCTATCAGTATGTTTCAAGCGTTGTCCCTCCCAAGAAACATTCGGTTTACATGCGCAAATGTGTTGTTAAGATAGAATGCACATATTTGGGTTTTAGTAGGGTTTTGCTTTAATGAGTTTTGTTTGTAGTAAGTTGACATCATGTTTAAAGCCTCTTTTATTGTAGACTCTACTTGTGTGAGTGTTTTCCCCTTTTACGGCTAGACCAAAATCGTCAGCGTAAACAAAACTATCAGTCTGAAGGTGGTTTGGTTGGTCATTGGTGTAGATGTTAAATAAGGGCGGCGCCAGAACGCTTTTTTGAGGTAGGCCATGTTTTTGGGTTCTCCATCTGCTCTTCTTTCTATTTAGCATAACGTAGAAGCGTCTATTACACAACAGTGATCTAATAATATTTACCAAGTCATAGTGAAGCACAGTGTTATAGATCTTAGTTAGCAAGGTTTTGTGGTTTATCATATCATAGGCCGCTTATGATCTATCAAGGCTCTTTCTGCTCAAATCCCTCATCTATGTATTCTTTTAGGTTCAGCACTTGGCCTGTACATGAGTTACCTGGTCTGAAGCTTGTTTGTTGTGGGATTAGTTTTGCATCTAATGTTTCCTGGATGCGGTTCAAAATGAGGCGTTCATACAATTTATACAAATGGCATAGCAGAAAAATCGGAAGGTATGGAATCTGCTAGGTAGAGTGACATATATTAAATAGATTGAGCACCCATTGTTTCGCTTTTTGTCCGAAGTATTTTATCTGCTCTGTTAGGATTTCGTCCACCCGAGCTCATTTTCCATTTTTCATACAGTCAATTTCATTTTTGAGCTCTTCGATGGTAAATGGGTTTCGCAAGAGAGTTGTTTCCTGGTCTTGAGTTCTTATAATCTTTGGCAATTTGCAACGATTGTTTGTTTTGCCATTCAGAAGCAGTTGGTGTGCTATCTGATTTGGCGTTATTGCACATAGCTCTTTTATCTCTGTGGAATGATCATTAAGTTTTTTGATCATATTCCAAGCTTGGTTACTACTGTGCGTCAAATCCATTTTACTTAAGTCTCGTTTCACCGTTGTTGTCTGGAGGCACTTAGTATTTGCTGCAGTCTTTTTCTCTATCATTGCCGTAACTTTGCTAAATGGGTCCTTACTATATTCTTCGGTGTACTTTGTCATAATGCCTTTTGCTTTATCGTTCAGACCAGATATGTAATATTAACATCCTCTGGGTATGTGTTTACATGAGATTCGTTTTACAAGTTTGATGAACGCATCATAGTTTTTGGGGATCGGGACCATATTTTTCACTTGTGTTTCCAATTCACTAGTAAATTTTTCCCAGTTCACTTTTTTGAAATTAAACCTTCGTTTGAAAAGGATTTTGGGAGCTTTTATAGCGCTATATTCAGTTATTCCCACGGACCTATGTTGCGTCTTCGATATAGGCTTATATTCCTTCCTAACCCATCGATCCTTTAAAGACATGCTGATGAAGGTGATATCAGGGTTGTAACATTTCTTCCATACTTTGCTTTGGAACGAATAGGGCAGTTTTGGGTAATGTAGAAGTGCCAGGCTGTTTTGTTCAGCCCACGATTCCACAAGATCTCCATTTTTATTAGTTGAAGCGTAGCTCCAAAAAACATGATGACTATTATAATCACCGATAATGAATCTGGTTTACTGAAAACAAAATTTTTTGGAGAGGAGAAAACAAAGTCTCTCCAGGGTGGTTTATACACATATGTTACTTTGCAGGCACCTATTTCGACGGTCAGAATTTCAATGTCGTTGTAGCATGTTTTTTCAGCTGATGTTACATTAATATCTCTTCTCACGAATATGTGATTTTTACCATTTGAACTATTGAAAATTCAATACTCTCAACAATAAACTGTATTGTATGTAAATAACTGTAAATATGTCCTTTCAAAACGTTGGTTACCATCATAGCTATCTTAATTTTATTCACTGCCACCCTAAATAGCATGCTTGTATCAACACCATACCAATTTCGCAAACTCTTAAACCATGAGGTTCTTCTTCGTCCTGGACTGCGTTTGCCTGCTTTTTTCTTGCATGATATTTTGTAGCAACCTATATTTGGGACCTCTACACTGGGACCATATATCAATAGTTTATTTTTAAATAGCGTTAAGGCAGTAATTGAGGTCATCCAGGAAAAACATCCCATATGCCGAATGGCGCTTTTGAGAAAAACGCAATTGAAAATTTTAACAAGTATTTTGAAAACAAATATTAAGGCTTTGAACTTAATCCAAAGCTAAAATAAAAGTATTGTATTTAAATTAAAGTTACAATAAGATGCTACAAAGATATAGACACATTTTTATGTAAATATAGTTTTTTTCACATTAGCTTGTCATGGGCCCCTTTTCCAAAGATCATTTGCGAAAGTATGAAATGAGTTTAAGAAAATGTTTATTTGGCAAATGACGTAAAAAATAAACAATAAAACAAGTAAATTATTATACAAGGAAAATTATACAGAAACTTCTTCTAGTATCCAGCCGATCCATTGTTCATCTTCTTAGGATAAACACTAAAATAAATAATTGATGGATTCGACTGTTACTTGATGGAAATTCATTTTATGTAACAACAAAACACTGAAAACTTTCTTTCAAACTTCCACAAAAATTTATTTTAACTCTTATCACTACAGCTGTTCGTCTGATTGCCTTTCTCAAGTGGACACTTGAGAAAGGCACACTTGAGAAAGGCAATCAGCTGAAACAGGTGTAGTGATAGGAGTTAAAATAAATTTTTGTGGAAGTTCAAAAACAAAGTTTTCAGTGTTTTATTGTTACTAAAATAAATCTCTTACGTCTTTTTCCTTTGCCGGCTCTATTCCAATCACTGCTTTAGGCTGGTGATGTAGTTTATAAATATGTGATTAGTATCAATGCCATATTCCAGTGTTTTTTCCAAAATGTGTTTCAGGGTTGCAATCCGATCAGCAATCAACCTGGTATTTTCTTACTATCGTTTTGCATGTCACCTCGGGGGAACAAATAAGGGTCTATACACCTTCTGATGGCCCCGGGTGCACTGTAGAGGGCTTCTAAAAACAGCGTCGCAAGCTCCTCTACCCAAGTCCATTTTTTGGTTGACTTGTAAAATGTATCGCCTGATGGCTCGTCTTGAGAAAGACGAGATATTTCTTACATGACGTAGAAGTCGAAATAACATCAGCTTTGTAGTCTTCCGTGGTTTGCCTTAATAAGGACAAGATAATTTCTTACACGACAATAAGATTGTCGAAATAATAACACCAAGTTTGCAGTAAACTAAACTCTCAGCCACAGATTATGGAAAAACAATCAGGAAGCAGAGCCCCGAGAGTACTAAGCTCTGACTGACTGAGGGACTGACCTGGTTGACCTACTACTTCACTGTCGATTTGGTTCTTTCTGTGTCTGTTTTGGTGCTTGGTGATGTTTTTAGCATCCTTTTGCCTCTTCAGATGTGGTTTTTAATTGTGTGGTTGTTGGCTGCTTTTTGTTTGTTGGTTGATCCACTAGTGGTTGCTTAGCCTGGATAATCAGCGGCGAAAAGGCGGTAAGTTCGGTTCTTTTCAGAGTTGTTTTCTAAAATGTAATTAGTAGATATTAGTATATGATTAATATGTGTTAAATGTGATTCGCGACGCATTGAGGGCAGCTGCGGCTGTATCCTCAGAAATAGATAGGTATCATTAACAAGTGGGATCGGGAAACCACAGAAAACCGATCCCCCCTGTCTAAGCAAGCTCGAACTGAACAATTTAGCTTGAAATACGACGGTGGTAGAAAGGAGTTGCCTCCTGAATGTCAATGTATTTATCAGGAAGTTCGTTACTGGCTAGTTTAAGTAAAATAGCGGGAAGGTGTGGGATTTTTGGTTTAGGGTGTCTGGTGAATACATTGCCGAGGGATGAGCAGACAGTTTTTAGAGTGCGTTGGGCTCTGAGGTTTTGGCCCCGGATTGTGCGTATTGTATAA